AAAAAAAATATAATTCATAACTTTATTAGAATGTACATATAACCGAGTTGTACTCAAATTTACATATCACCTGTACTGGGTTGTACACAGTTGTACATATCACCTGTACTGAGTTGTACACAGTTGTACATATCACCTGTACACAGTTGTACACAATTGTACCTCTCACCTGTACTGAGTTGTACACAGTTGTAACTCTCACCTGTACTGAGTAGTACACAGTTGTACCTCTCACCTGTACTGTGTTGTACACAGTTGTAACTCTCACTTGTACTGAGTTGTACACAGCTGTAACTCTAACCTGTACTGTGTTGTACACAGTTGTACCTCTCACCTGTACTGGGTTGTACACAGTTGTAACTTTCACATGTACTAAGTTGTACATCTCACCTGTACTGGGTTGTACACAGTTGTAACTCTCACCTGTACTAAGTTGTACACAGTTGTACATATTACCTGTAATGGGTTGTACACAGTTGTACCTCTCACCTGTACTGAGTTGTACACAGTTGTACCTCTCACCTGTACTGAATTGTACACAGTGGTATCTCTCACCTGTACTGTGTTGTACACAGTTACATGATCGTAAATAAGTATGCCTTTTACCTGTGCCAGTTGGTACACATGTATGCAATGTACTGTAAGCAGTGTGGTGTGTGTTAGTTATTAGTCTGATATGTAAGTTGTCCAAATTTGCCTTTTAAGTGACTAGGACTTGAATTATGGCGCTGACCTACGAACCCGTAATTACTGTGTGTGATTATAAAACACAACAACTTCATACATAATAAGCAGCCATTCACATTCTTAACCAACAGTAACACTGAAAACACGCCGGAAATACAGTAATCTGCAAGCACTCCTGACAACATTCACTTCCGTTGGTAAAATGTTACTTATTTGAAATTTGAAAATTCATCTAGTACCAACAAAAAAATAAACTTAATTTTACATACACTGAATGTCAGTTTTCTGTTGTTTTTCGTACCAAATGAGCCCTATTCCGGAATCGCTTCTAGTGCAAATAATCAACTTCCGGTTTTTCAAGGACTATTTCTTTGTTTTCTTTATATATGTACTTCTTCTTTCTGTCTGTTCCAACTGACATTACGACATTAATCTGTCACATATAAAAACACATTATACTGTTTGTACCAACTCCGCTGACACCAATCTATTTACTTACAAGTAGCATTGTCACGAATCGTGTTTACGTTACACTGTCCAACAGCTTTGTGCTTTTTACCAGAACAGACGCGCGTCTCGTCTCTGTCACTTTTTCACGCCAGTCACTTTCATTGGAAAGTTCAAGTAAACATGAAAAAGTACATCCAAACTTTAACTGAATGTGATTGTTTGGTTTCGTGAAAATTTTCAGAAATTTATTATCCAAACGACACAATAACACAGTAATATTTTTTTCAGTAACATCGCGAACTGTGTTAAGCAGTTGCTGTACATAATGAAATAAAAAAATAACGACATCACCGCCAAAGCACATTTACATGTAAATCTTCTGTAACAACATAGACCCAGTAAAACATATTGTGCAGTTATTTGGAAATTTACAGATGGAAAAATATTAATATTCACCAACACTTGTTTTGCCGGTAATTTTGTTGCCATGCAACACCGCGATTCACCGACTAATGACACAGTAGAGCACAGCATAAAAAACAAAAAAACAAAAAAAAACTCAAGCGTCGGTAATCTCACTGATGAAATATACTTTGATTAAAACTCGAAGCACTTACGACACATTTCGTTCTAATTTCCTGAAGTCTTGGTCGGACTCTTTATCGCCATGGTAACCAATGTCAAAGCAGTATATCAATGGCGTAGGATCGGGATTATCATGACAAACGAGACACAAGAGGTTGCCATAACAACGGTATGCATTCTACTTTAAATGCAATAGCTATGTCACAAGGCCGCCATGAAATAAACAATCCCTTAGTTAAATGTATCGTTTGAAATATGTTTTAATGTATAAACAAAATCCATTGCCTTACTTAAACAAGTATGTATTAAAACGCTGAAAGATGTATGGGGGAATTTTCGCTAAGCATACGTTATTTCAAAAATATACAATGCATTAGACGTCCGAAACAGATTTCTGAATAAGTTTGTGACGAAATAAGGTATTGGACAGGTTTATATCCTTCTATCAAGGTAAATATGTTCCTACAACTTTCGCCCAAGATGAAGTTTCCATAGTAATCGTCTGATCGTTTACCGGAGGGAATACTTCCCACGCCCACAACCCTATTACGGTAAATGTTCTTGAGCATGGCATCGATAATTCGGTCAACTTGATAAGACCGCATTCTCGATCTCTCTGAAAACAAATATGCGTTCCCATGCAAATTCAAGACTCTGCAGTAAAATCTATTCTCATTACAGTAAGATATTACATCATATTAAAACATTTGTCGACATTTGATATTTGATATAATGGTGCTTTATTTGACCAATAAGAAACAATTTGCTCATTTCCATCAGATCAGTGAAGTGTTCTGGCGGTTGATTTTGGGTATTTGCTTCATTTCTGTTTCTTCTGCCCCTGTATATATATTGTTAGAACACGTTGGACTATGCGTGGAGAAGAATTCCTCAATATTGTACAAAGATGTGTAGCAAGGCACGCGTGTTTCCAACCTTACAGGGCGTGCGCTGTGGTATGTACATCAGGACAAAATTAATTGATGCTGTCGATGTTCTGGAAAAGACCAATATATATGTACAGCTGAAAATACCTTTATTCCGTCTCTATGTGTGTATTGTGCAGAGTCAACCAGGTTTACTGCATCACTCATTGCACGGCACTATACCTGTCATACATCACCGGTAAACACAATGTTTTTTACACAGAAATGTTACTGAAACTGTTGTCTTCATTTTAGTATTTTACTGGAAGTATTAAGGAGTTAGTTATAAAAACAAACAGGAAGCAGCACTCAGCTGACAACGTTAGTTGTGTAAGTAGTAGAAGCGGTGAGATGCCATTGAAGTATAATTGTATCACTCTACCCCGTGCTATTTGTATGTATACATGTATTATTTATAAATCAGTAAAATTTCACTTACTGTAAGAAAGAGTTATACGCTAACGTGTCGGTTTTTACGCACAAATACATGGTATCACTGCTGCCATATAACCCAACTCACTAATAATATTTTGTTACCATTGCGGCCATCTTGAAAACATACGTGGTCAGGAGCAGGACTGACCATTCTAATTAAATCCCTTCAGCTTAACTGAAGTGTAAGCATCGAAATATGCCGACAAGGTAGCTGAGATAGTGCGAAATCCTCGCACCGGTTTAGAAGTGTCCTGCGTGTAGTTTTCTTTAAACGGACGTCATCGGATTAAGATATATCAGGCGACATTACAAACGTCACGAGGATTTCCGAAAGATACTTTCTAAGTTTAGATCTTTAATATATTAAATATGAAGACAAGTTTCTTCCTTAAATTACGTTAAAACTAGCCTCGTTGCTGTTTTGACACAAAAACAGGCCATCATAGTTCCAGGGGATCTACGGTAACTGTTCTAGTCCGTTCCGCCTGGAGATAGACAAGTATGCAATAAAGGTTTAGATGATTAAATTATATCGGTCACTCTATTTCTAATAAACTTCTTTCTAGTGTAAGCAGTGAGGAAAACACAAACTTAAAAGACTTGACGAATGCAAACGGTCCGATAAATATACAGTATTATGATAATTTCATTGGTTAATGTAAGTTACGACAAACTTCCCTAAAACTAGGTTAAAATGTATACAAAACTTTACGACAATTTTACAAGAGGTCCAATGGGCCTGCAACGCTCACCTGGTGTTCAATATTTTGACATTTGGAATGTGAATACATCTAGGGTATTTGGGCAAGGATTGACACTAGCAGGTCTACGATGTAAAATAAAACAGTATTTGTGTCTGCAACTAATGGATCCCGACAACTTATGTCAAGCCATTTGACAGTTTTAATAAATTTTGCTCATGTGAACATGAATATGGGTCAAGGTCATTACCTTGAGCAAACTTTGCTAGTGTTATCCCTAGAGGTAGCAAACTACAAATTATGTGCCATTTGGTTAATCAGAAGCAGTTGTTCATTTTTTTAAACAGCTTTGACCCGTGTGACCTTCAATATAGATCAAGGTTATTTTTAACAAGATATTCCAAAGGGATCTTGGCGCCCACCATTGTTTGATCTTTTTTTATTCTCTCAAAGATTTTTGTCTCGTTTTTGCTCTTGATGATACAAAATTAATTAACATTCCTTTGCAGGAATAGCGATGATAACCCTTTAACTGCGAAATTCAAGATGGCCGCCTGTCAGTCGTATTGTTTTTTTCTGATCAGTCCCAAAATCAAAAGGACACAAGAAGGGACCAGGAGAACCCACATGTGAAATTTGAGAGTGATTTATCTAGTACTTCTCAAGAAGTAGCGATAACAAACTTTTCTTGGCTAAATCAAACATGGCCATCTGTCGACCACTTTATTTTTCTGATCAGTCCCAAAACGAGGCCAACTAGGGACCAAGGGGAACCTACACATGAAGTACGAGAAAAAAAGATATATCTAGTACTTCTGAAGAAATAGCGATAACAAACGTTCATCGTTGAAATCCATTGACCATTTTGTTTTTTCCGACTAATTATAAAATGAAACGGGCACAACTAAGGACTAAGGGTAACCTACATAAGGAATTTGAGAGATATCCATTCAGTACCTCTCAAGAAATAGCGATATCAAACTTCATTGAAAAAAAATCAAGATGGCCGTTTGTCGGGTCATTTTGTGTTTCTGAACAGACCCAAAATCAAACGGGTAAAACTTGAGGCCACGAAGAACATAGACATTAAATTTGAGAAATGATCATTTCTTACATCTTAAGAAATAGCGATAGGAAAAATTGTTTATGGACGGACGGACGGACGGACGTAAGGCTATTTGAATAATTAGGTGACCAAAAAAGACAGAAAAGCAAATCACACTTCAGACATTTTTCTTTATTTTGAAAGTCATTTAAACATGTAAAATTCATCTTTAAATGATGCTTTTAAAACCAAGAAAGAACTTTTGTTAACAACTTTCAACTTTCAGAACAATTTTTTTATAAGCTAGCTTTGATTTCAAACTTTTTAGCACTCTTGTTTAAAAATCTATACCATACAAGCTGTATGAAAATTACTAACCTTCAGTATAACCGACCAATTTAGTTCTCATGTCTAATTCAATGACACATTCACACCTTTGTTTTACTTACTAGGCTATTTTTTAATAACTTTGTAAATTAAAACATTCACTTACATAGACTTTCTCTCATGTCAAATACAATTAACATGAAATATTTCGATACGATAAATATATATATATACATTCAAAATTTTATACCACTGATCAAACCAAGAAAGATTTTTTTAAAACCAAGAAACAGAATATCTCAACACCCTGGTTTATGTCATGTCCTACCAAACACACACGAAATGAGTATTTAATCATAGAATATTTGTACTATACATAATGTATTTTACAACATTTTAATTGGTTGATAACATATGGTTTCACACAATACAGGATAAAACATACTTCACAAAGGAATATTTTGTTCTATACCAGATCTAACAAATAACATATTATTTCAATATTACATTTCTGTAGGCCTGAATTAACGTTCTGTCGGGGGTAGGGGGAGGGGGTGATTTTGACCATTGAGTAAAACACAACTGCACAAAATGATGTAGAAAAAGACTTTTACTTTCAATACTGCCTTATCTGTAACCATTGGTGATTTTAGGATATAACTGTGAATCGTGTTGTTTTATCTATTGCTGAGAACATGATTGTTGGGTTTATAGCCAATCAACAGTCAGGACATTTTGAGGCTGGTGACTACCTTACTGACATGCAAGATGTCCGTTGCATGGAATTCTGGGTAATAAGGGTAAAGTGTCATGCCCAAGGACACAACAGCACAGGTTGATCCAATCTATCAGCTGCCTAAGAAGCATAATGACCTAGAATATTCACCTCAGGTGGTAAATTTTGATGCTCTTCTGATGCAGCTATCATGGTCCCTAATGGAGAATATCATGGATTAAATCTGTAGGTTTCATGGATTTGAATGTACTGCCAGTTAAATCAAATTTGATGCCATACTCTATATTTTTGTTTGTTTCCTGTACCAGTGACAAAAGGGTAACATCAGAACTGTAAACAAGACAAATGGTTTTACATCAACAGCACAAATCTCAACATAACAAAAAATGAAATAGTACAAAGCCTTTAAATAAAGAAAACTTAAACATATATAGGAGCTCTGCGTAGACACATTTCTTGGTGCAACTCAAAGCATTAAGGTAACTGATATAACTAAGGGATATTGCATCAAATTATCTAACACCCAGGAAGAGGTTTTCAGAGTTCATGAAATATGACTTCCGAGAGAATAATCTTAATTCAAAGAGTACTGTATGATAAAATGCATTTTCTCAAGCATTCATTTTAAGTCAAATTTCTTCACATCTAGAATGGTCTTATAAGACAGATATTTTCTTGCAATAGCCCTTAATTTGTTCAGAATGCTTTATCTACACACATACAGATAAATAACTGACACACAACCATCTTTTGAGCTGGTAAAATGAATCTTTCGTGAAATACACATGATCCCTTGTCAATGTTTGTCCAGACTGGCTTAAGACAATGATATTCTGGATTTTATCACGAATGTGCTCATAAAGACGTAAGGTTCACCTGCTCAGTTCTCCCGTACCATTTCTATCAGATCAACAAGGTTATATCACAGACAAAGAGGTCAAACTTCTAAAGAAAAAATAAATCTGATCAAACTTTCTTGAACAAGTGATTTCTGTTAGTACATGTACACTAGCAGTACTTACCAATAATGACCTACAAAAATGTTGGACAATTAATTTAATTATTTTTTGAAAATTTGAACAATGAAAAACTATTTTTTTAAACTTTTATCATGTTTAATTATGATCCAAATATGATGATAGTATGTATTACAATGTACTAACAAAAATCACTTTCCGAGCTTTTAAGTATTGTTTTACAATCACATGGTGCTGGGTGTTGACAAAGTCAGTATTTTTCCATATTTTCTGAGGTATTAGCACTTGGCATGTGTTTGGACGGAATGCCTTTAAAGTCAATTTCTACATCAACACTTGATAACTTTTCTGTCTCCAACTTCCTAAGTATTTTCTCTTGTCTTGCTTTTTCTTTCTCCTCCTGGAAAGGATGATAATTCTATCAGTTAAAAACTGTCAAAATCTCCAATAATAAAAAAAACTTTAAAATATCTTTCAAAAGAAATTACTGGGCTCAAGGGAAATAACTCACTATTTTCAAAGTCGTGATAATTTTTAGAAAATGAAGATTATTGAATATTGAATCTCGATGGAGGACATGTGCCTTTAAGCAATAAAAGCTAGGGATGTCAATTTGATAGAATTACTATTCCAATATTCATCTGATTCAGTATTTAAATACAGATAAACCTCCTTATCTTAGAAGTCGACAGCACAGTGGAAAATCTTCACGTTATCTGAGTTTGACAGAATGCTTAAAATTATACAGGTTCTTTGATTTATCAGCGGTTGTGTTAACAAGGTTCAACTGTACTAGAATAGCTGTTTCCACGTCAATTCCATGATGATTACAGAAAAGGGACCACAGACAGTGGTACTTATTTTTCTTTTGATACAAATTAAATCTTGGTGAAAACATAACAAAATCTGGTCATGGAGAAATATTTTACCTCTTCTTTCAATCTGTAGAATTCATCAATGGCATATTGATATTTTGGTGTTGTGATGCCAAAAAACCAAGCCAACTTCTCTCCACAGAAATCTGCTCCTGATAAAGGACAAACAGATCTAATAAGTTACCTCATTAAAATACATCCACAGAAATCTGCTCCTGATAAAGGACAAACATATCTAATTAGTTACCTCATTAAAATACCTCCACAGAAATCTGCTCCTGATAAAGGACAAACATATCTAAGTTACCTCATTAAAATACCTCCACAGAAATCTGCTCCTGATAAAGGACAAACATATCTAAGTTACCTCATTAAAATACCTCCACAGAAATCTGCTCCTGATAAAGGACAAACATATCTAAGTTACCTCATTAAAATACATCCACAGAAATCTGCTCCTGATAAAGGACAAACATATCTAATAAGTTACCCAATTAAAATACCATCAAACAGGATATGTAAGAGATGTATAAAAGTTCACAACACTATTAGTGTACTTTCTATTTGTATCCTAGTCACTGAATGGTTATCATTAAACACTTCACCAGATAAAGAGATAAAACAGAGAATTCATATGAAGCACATCTTCTATGATGAGCTGCCATCATATTCGATGAGAGTTGTTACCCTATTGTTTATATAGTTTATGGCACTTCACTCTATGAGGCCAAACTTCACTTGGACAATGCCCTCAGGAAATATGACACTTTCTGGTTAAGAAAACTCTTTCTTAACCTGCAACTAGGGCCAGTAGTAAAATGTTGATTTCGTCAAATGAAGTCAGTGAAAATATTTAAATACAGATAAAATTTAAGTTTTAATTTGCCAGAGACAATTTAAATTTGGAATGAATTAATTCAAGACTTTCCATAGCTTTCTTTTCTGGAATAACACTTATACAAAAACACATCTGGATGTAAATGACTACCTTATAACTATGATAGCAATTTATCTCTTAGCAATGATTCGACACCCAGTGGATTTACCAGAAATGTTAAAGAAATTTCATTACTTCATCATACCTGATACACTGTCAGCGTGATAACAAGTATTATAATGTAAAACAAATTACCTTTCAAAGTTTTGGAGGCTGCTAATACTGTGTAGTACCAGACCCAAGGAAACCAGGTAAGTGTTTTCTGAAGAATATAAAAAGAAAATTCTATCTATTTAAACAATAATATTGCAAGCTGCAAAAAGTAATTTGATAAGTAACTTTTCTTATACTTCACAAAGTACTTTAAGGAATGTAATTGGGATATAATGTTGCTATTTTATTTGTCTTCTCAGCTCTTTACATACACAACTCTGAGGAACTGACATGATTCCATTTACCAATATGTCATGACCTGGTTTAAAATAGGCATTACCCAGCTGTAGATCATTTTCACTTGATCTCACATCATTTCACAACATTAATATATCTATATGCAAGTCCCAAGTCCTGTACTCAAACAATTTTGACAGGAATTGTACAATTTTTTAAAATAATCAAATTTCACATTATGTGACTCATTGCTTTTAGCAGTGAAGTTGAAAAGGACTTGAGATAATGAATTGTAGATAGATCACTTTAACCATCTTTGCAGATGGACACAACTTTAATTGGTTGACATGAGTAGATCCAGGGCAAGTTCTTGTAATACTAGATACCTTCAACACTTCAAACCAGCACCTTACAATCTACTGTATCCTCCCACTCAAACCAGCACTGTAGAATCTACTGTATCATCCTACTCAAACCAGAACCTTACAATCTACTGTATCCTCCCACTCAAGCCAGCACCTTACAATCTACTGTATCCTCCCACTCAAACCAGCACTGTAGAATCTACTGTATTATCCTACTCAAACCAGCACTGTAGAATCTACTGTATCCTCCCACTCAAACCAGCACCTTAGAATCTACTGTATCCTCCTACTCAAACCAGCACCTTACAATCTACTGTATCCTCCCATTCAAACCAGCACCTTAGAATCTACTGTATCCTCCCACTCAAACCAGCACTATAGAATCTACTGTATCATCCTACTCAAACCAGCACTAGAATCTACTGAATCCTCCCACTCAAACCAGCACCTTACAATCTACTGTATCCTCCCACTCAAACCAGCACCTTACAATCTACTGTATCCTCCCACTCAAACCAGCACCTTACAATCTACTGTATCCTCCCACTCAAACCAGCACTGTAGAATCTACTGTATCCTCCCACTCAAACCAGCACCTTACAATCTACTGTATCCTCCCACTCAAACCAGAACCTTACAATCTACTGTATCCTCCCACTCAAACCAGCACCATAGAATCTACTGTATCCTCCCACTCAAACCAGCACCTTAGAATCTACTGTATCCTTCCACTCAAACCAGCACCTTACAATCTACTGTATCCTCCCACTCAAACCAGCCCATTAGAATCTACTGTATCCTTCCACTCAAACCAGCACCTTACAATCTACTGTATCCTCCCACTCAAACCAGCACCTTAGAATCTACTGTATCCTTCCACTCAAACCAGCACCTTACAATCTACTGTATCCTCCCACTCAAACCAGCACTGAAGAATCTACTGTATCCTCCCACTCAAACCAGCCCATTAGAATCTACTGTATCCTTCCACTCAAACCAGCACCTTACAATCTACTGTATCCTCCCACTCAAACCAGTACCTTAGAATCTACTGTATCCTCCCACTCAAACCAGCACCTTAGAATCTACTGTATCCTCCCACTCAAACCAGAACCTTAGAATCTACTGTATCCTCCCATTCAAACCAGCACCTTACAATCTACTGTATCCTCCCACTCAAACCAGCACTGTAGAATCTACTGTATCCTCCCACTCAAACCAGCACCTTAGAATCTACTGTATCCTCCCACTCAAACCAGCACCTTAGAATCTACTGTATCCTCCCACTCAAACCAGCACCTTAGAATCTACTGTATCCTCCCACTCAAACCAGCACCTTACAATCTACTGTATCCTCCCACTCAAACCAGCACCTTAGAATCTACTGTATCCTCCCACTCAAACCAGAACCTTAGAACCTTAGAATCTACTGTATCCTCCCATTCAAACCAGCACCTTACAATCTACTGTATCCTCCCACTCAAACCAGCACTGTAGAATCTACTGTATCCTCCCATTCAAACCAGCACCTTACAATCTACTGTATCCTCCCATTCAAACCAGCACCTTACAATCTACTGTATCCTCCCACTCAAACCAGCACTGTAGAATCTACTGTATCCTCCCACTCAAACCAGAACCTTAGAATCTACTGTATCCTCCCACTCAAACCAGCACCTTAGAATCTACTGTATCCTCCCACTGTATCCTCCCACTCAAACCAGCACCTTAGAATCTACTGTATCCTCCCACTCAAACCAGCACCTTACAATCTACTGTATCCTCCCACTCAAACCAGAACCTTAGAATCTACTGTATCCTCCCACTCAAACCAGCACCTTACAATCTACTGTATCCTCCCACTCAAACCAGCACCTTAGAATCTACTGTATCCTCCCACTCAAACCAGCACCTTAGAATCTACTGTATCCTCCCACTCAAACCAGCACCTTACAATCTACTGTATCCTCCCACTCAAACCAGCACCTTACAATCTACTGTATCCTCCCATTCAAACCAGCACCTTAGAATCATTAGAATCTACTGTATCCTCCCACTCAAACCAGCACCTTACAATCTACTGTATCCTCCCACTCAAACCAGCACCGTAGAATCTACTGTATCCTCCCACTCAAACCAGCACCTTAGAATCTACTGTATCCTCCCACTCAAACCAGCACCTTACAATCTACTGTATCCTCCCACTCAAACCAGCACCTTAGAATCTACTGTATCCTCCCACTCAAACCAGCACCTTAGAATCTACTGTATCCTCCCACTCAAACCAGCACCTTAGAATCTACTGTATCCTCCCATTCAAACCAGCACCTTACAATCTACTGTATCCTCCTACTCAAACCAGCACCTTACAATCTACTGTATCCTCCCACTCAAACCAGCCCATTAGAATCTACTGTATCCTCCTACTCAAACCAGCACCTTAGAATCTACTGTATCCTCCCACTCAAACCAGCACCTTACAATCTACTGTATCCTCCCACTCAAACCAGCACCTTAGAATCTACTGTATCCTCCCATTCAAACCAGCACCTTAGAATCTACTGTATCCTCCCACTCTTACAATCTACTGTATCCTCCCACTCAAACCAGCACCGTAGAATCTACTGTATCCTCCCACTCAAGCCAGCACCTTACAATCTACTGTATCCTCCCACTCAAACCAGCACTGTAGAATCTACTGTATTATCCTACTCAAACCAGCACCTTACAATCTACTGTCAAACCAGCACCTCTACTGTATCCTCCCAAACCAGCACCTTACAATCTACTGTATCCTCCCACTCAAACCAGCACCTTACAATCTACTGTATCCTCCCACTCAAACCAGCACTGTAGAATCTACTGTATCCTCCCACTCAAACCAGCACCTTACAATCTACTGTATCCTCCCACTCAAACCAGCACCTTAGAATCTACTGTATCCTCCCACTCAAACCAGCACCTTACAATCTACTGTATCCTCCCACTCAAACCAGCACCTTACAATCTACTGTATCCTCCCACTCAAACCAGCACTAGAATCTACTGTATCCTCCTACTCAAACCAGCACCTTACAATCTACTGTATCCTCCTACTCAAACCAGCCCTAGAATCTACTGTATCCTCCCACTCAAACCAGCACCTTAGAATCTACTGTATCGTTCCACTCAAACCAGCACCTTACAATCTACTGTATCCTCCCACTCAAACCAGCCCATTAGAATCTACTGTATCCTCCTACTCAAACCAGCACCTTAGAATCTACTGTATCCTCCCACTCAAACCAGCACCTTAGAATCTACTGTATCCTCCCATTCAAACCAGCACCTTAGAATCTACTGTATCCTCCCACTCAAACCAGCACCTCAATCTACCCTCCCAGCAAACCAGCACTGTAGAATCTACTGTATCCTCCCATTCAAACCAGCACCTTACAATCTACTGTATCCTCCCATTCAAACCAGCACCTTACAATCTACTGTATCCTCCCACTCAAACCAGTACCTTAGAATCTACTGTATCCTCCCACTCAAACCAGCACCTTAGAATCTACTGTATCCTCCCACTCAAACCAGCACCTTAGAATCTACTGTATCCTCCCACTCAAACCAGCACCTTACACTGTATCCTCTAGCACCTTAGAATGTATCCTCCCACTCAAACCAGCACCGTAGAATCTACTGTATCCTCCCACTCAAACCAGCACCTTAGAATCTACTGTATCCTCCTACTCAAACCAGCACCTTAGAATCTACTGTATCCTCCCACTCAAACCAGCACCTTACAATCTACTGTATCCTCCTCAAACCAGCACCTTAGAATCTACTGTATCCTCCCACTCAAACCAGCACCTTAAACCAGCAATCTACTGTATCCTCCTGTACTCAAACCAGCACCTTACAATCTACTGTATCCTCCCACTCAAACCAGCACCTTACTCTACTGTATCCTCCCAAAACCAGCACCTCTACTGTATCCTCCCACTCAAAGCACCTTAGAATCACTGTAGAATCTACTGTATCCTCCCACTCAAACCAGCACCTTACTACTGTATCCTCCCACTCAAACCAGCACCTCTACTGTATCCTCCCACTCAAACCAGCACTGAAGAATCTACTGTATCCTCCCACTCCAACCAGCACCTTACAATCTACGGTATCCTCCCACTCAAACCAGCACTAGAATCTACTGTATCCTCCCACTCAAACCAGCACTGAAGAATCTACTGTATCCTCCCACTCAAACCAGCACCTTACAATCTACTGTATCCTCCCACTCAAACCAGCACCTTACAATCTACTGTATCCTCCCATTCAAACCAGCACCTTAGAATCTACTGTATCCTCCCACTCAAACCAGCACCTTAGAATCTACCGTATCCTCCTACTCAAACCAGCACCTTACAATCTACTGTATCCTCCCACTCAAACCAGCACCGTAGAATCTACTGTATCCTCCCACTCAAACCAGCACCTTACAATCTCCCTCAAACCAGCACCTTACAAT